TAGCGGTGTGCAGCTTTTACAGGGATTAGTCTGGGAACCTGACGGCCGAGGAGGAGGAAGATGGCCACTCCTTCTCTCAGCGTGGATCATGTGTGTGTTTACACCCATGGGCTCTAACTCAAATGAACTGACGGTTTGGAGAGATAAATCACAGCCAGCCTGCCTCTCCGTGTAGATGATGTTGTTGCCATGGTAACGAACCTTTCCTGTACCACCTCCTTTAAACCTTTGGAGGCAGCTGAAACAAGCCAAAGTGTCCTGCTGCTGAGCTTAGCCTCCATCACCGTGGCAACAGTGACATCATGTGGTGCAGCTCAGTACCAACAGGAGTGCTGAGAGGCTGCAGCGGTACACCAGCAGATTCATCCCGTACCTCCTGAAACGATGGCCCGGTGTCGGGTCAGCGTCGTCATTGAAGTTTGCTTCTGATTCAGCGTAGACATCCGAGCCAACTTCAGGTAGCTTAGGTTTAAAACAGCTACATTTTCCATCTTTCTGGGAAGACCGCAGATCCATGAAAGGAACTCCACGGACTAACGCATCAGCAGAACCTCAGAAATGTCCCAGAGTCGGTGAAAGAGTTGTACCTGTTTTAGAACCGGAGCGCTCTTCCGAGGCTGCCGCACTTCCTGTGTGGGATGATCCTTTAGTCCTGCCGGTCCCGCTCAGCGTTTTAACCTGGATGTTCTCTCTTCGGGACGGTTCTAACAGCCGCTTAGAAACCAACTTTACTGCAGTTACGGTTCTGATGAGAGAACGTTAGCCTCCTCCCCTGCATCTGGGCCTCTGATCAGAGGATGTCCTAAACTGGACACCGTAGTTCCAACTGAAACCTTCACTGTGTGTGTGTGTGTGTGTGTGTGTGTGTGTGTGTGTGTGTGTGTGTGTGTGTGTGTGTGTGTGTGTGTGTGTGTGTGTGTGTGTGTGTGTGTGTGTGTGTGTGTGTGTGTGTGTGTGTGTGAGAGAGAGAGAGAGTGATTCAGCGTCTGTTTTGTGTTTCTCACAGCCACGGACACCGGAGTGACAGGTAACCACATAAACCTCAAGACACCCCCACCCCCCCACCCTAACTGCCCCCCCTTTCCCGCATGGCTTGCTGCTCGTCTGCGGTCCTGTAGAGTTTCTGCTCCTGCTGCTCTCACACCTTTCTTTCCACCTCAGACATGTGAGTTGGAGCACCTGAGCACACCTGAGCGTAGCGCTTTGTTTGGTGCTTGGGCCGTGTGAAGGCGTTGTATAAATAAAGTTTAGTAATAATAGTAGAGCGGGTTGTCCAGTAATCAGAAGGTTGCAGGTTTGATCCTGGGTCCAACCACAGAATGCTTCTGTTGTGTCCTTGGGCAAGACACGTGAACCCCCTTGTGTGCCGGTGGTGGTCGGAGGGGCCGGTGGCGCCAGCGTGTGACAGCCCCACCTCTGTCAGAGCGCCCCAGTGTGGTAAAGTGCCTTGGGGGGTTGTGCTGGTGGTTCAACTCCCATCATGCTTCACTGCCGAGTCATGATCCTGTTTTTGTTCCTCCTGCTAACAGATTTTAGAGGCAGAACTTTGTCCCTCAACAACCTTGGTTTGTGTCTGCTTTTCAGGACGGATGGCCGCCGCTGGTCTCTGGCCTCGCTGCCTTCCTCTGGGTATGGAACCAACACCCCCAGCTCCACCGTCTCGGTACGTCCGACTATCATCGACCACCGCCCCAGGTGTCTGTGGCAGTCACGCTCATGATGCCTGACCAAAGTATCGGGTCAGGGCACAGCTGGGATCCAGTCAGAGCCTCGGTGTTCTCCTGTAGCTGGACTTTAAACGCGTCTCTCCTCCTGATAAATCCGTGCTCGAGTCTGGAACTTAGCTTCTGAGTCGGGAAGTGCAGAAATGTGAGATGACTCTGAAACGAGTTGGAGACATCTGTTAGGAACGTGGAAGAACCCAGTCCCTGATGTAGGATGGAGCTGATCCGTAGAGACGGAGGATCTCAGGTGTGTTCTGGACGCTAAAGCAGGACACTTCAGGTCCCCTCTAACCAGGATCTGCTGGTTTAGGGAGACGACGTGAACCGGGTCCAAGTTCAGAGTCAGAACCTGACTGAATGTTTTATTTCTGCCTGACCTTTAAAGGAGCCTTAATCTGAGCCCGGTCCGTTCCCAGCTCCGTCCAGAACCTCCGGTAGCTGCTGGTTGTAATCTGTGCTCCCTCTGTGCTCCTCCTCTCACAGTCCTCCTGTTCATCCCAGGAGAAACTGCACCAGCTGCCCTTCCAGCCCACGCCGGACGAGCTGTGCTTCCTCACCAAACACTTCAGCTCGGAGAGCATCACGGAGCAGGACGGCCGCCACTCTCCCGCCATGAGACCGCGCTCCCGCAGCCTCAGGTACCGGCGCCGCTTTGGTCACACGCGGAGAAATCCGCTTTCACGTTGAGGTGTCTGGTAGCAGCTTTAGTCTCAGGATCAGAACCAGGACCATGATCAGAACCAGAACAACCCAGTGTCTCAAGGCTGTGGACCGGACTTCTACGTGAGAGCCGGGTTTTTGTTGGTTCATTAAACCTAATCAGGTCAAAAAAAGTTTTCAGTGTTTACTTTTAAAACTGGAGTTTTAAAAAGTACAAAATCTGGTTCTGGACTATTGGACTGGGTTCTACTGTCACTGAGAGTGAGCACGTCTGAAGCCCTCCTGTCTCAGGGGGCGGGGTTTCACGCAGTCCCCACCAGACAGCTCGTTAATGACTCGACCAACCAGCTCCCAGCTCCCTGAGCGCCAACTGATCGATGACATCACCATTCAGACAGGAAGCAGCATGGTCTCAGTCTGGTTCTGGTCCTTGTTCTGGTTTTGGCCTACGTTCTGGGCTGACGGGTTCTGGATCAGAACCAGAACAGATGGGAATAAACAGTTAATTAAATTAAACAGACGGATTATTCGGAGTAATCTCTATTAAAGGACGACTCCGCGTAGAAACGTTGAATTTGTCTTTTGAATTTAATGTGTTAATGTTAGATATGCTAATGATGTGTGTGTGTGTGTGTGTGGGGGGGGGGGGGGGTGTCCATGTCGTCCTCCACCTCCTGTCCCCCGTCAGCAGCTCCTTCTCTTCTGCTAGCGAGACGTGAAAAGGTGGAGGCTGCTGATGGTTTCACCTTCATCTGGAACTTGTCTCGGTTTGCTCAGACCTTCTGAGACGTGATGGATGCTTCCTGCACCGAGGCGTCTGATTGGTGGACAGGTTGAACTTGTGGCTGACAGACTCACTCAGACGTGGCTGCAGAAGCGTTTCCTTCCGAAGGAGACCCTGAGGTCCTGCTGGTGTCCCTCCACTGTTTCATTCCCCGGCTGACCCAGACTGCCACTTCCTGTCTGACCTTTATTCTTTAAAATGTCTTTTTTGATCCAAAGATATGCAAAGCAGTGTTACGTCCAAGAGAAGCCTGGATGATTCCAGACAGCTGCTGGAGGAGCCAAGCTTCGTTAGAAAACAGGATCAGATCTGGACCAGCTCAAAGGTTTTGCACCAGCTAACTGTTAGCGTTAGCAACTTCACCACACAGCAGAACTCCTCCAGGCTTGTGTTATTTGTGGGGATAAACATTTACGTTGCAGAGCAAATAGGGTCAGTGGTGGTCTTGTTGCTGTTAGCCAATCAGAGAAGAGATGACCACATATCAGGAAATAAGACTCCACATTGTGCCGTGTAAAGCTCTCCTCTGCTGCAGCAGACTTGTCCCTGCTGGTGCAGGCGCCCTGAATACGGCTTGCAAGGCACTCATTCCTACCAGAGACCACTGCAAATGTACTGATTAAATAAGTTTCCCACGCCTTTATAAACGAGTCCAGAGTGATGAAGACAGGGTCTCAGTGTAAAAACAACTTTGTTTTGTTTTCCAGTCCGTTGTTGACATTCATGTGTGTTGCAGCTCTACGGGGGTCACACATGATCTCTGTTTGTGTTTTCCTGACAGCTGATTGATGTGAGCACCTGAACAACCACCTCACGAGTCTTTTGTTTTCTTTTCAGCCCTGGACGCTCGCCTGTCTCCTTTGACCATGAGATCATGATGATGAACCATGTCTACAAGGAGCGCTTCCCCAAGGTATGGATCACACACATGCACCACCTGTCCGTTCTTACTTCCTCCTGTCACCACAGATTATCTGCTGCTGTGGCCCCAGACTCTGGAGCTCTCTCCCCCTGAGCCTGAGACCAGTGGACTCAGTGGTCTCCTTTAAACTCACCTGTTCAGGCTTTGGTGGGACCTTTCCCTTTCCCAGGATCCACTGATTTCCTTCTTTCTTAATAATTTTCTTTCTCCCTTTCCTTTTAGCCACATATTTTTTCTCATTTTTATATTTTAATATGTTTAACCCTTTGATGCATACTGGTCACTACAGTGGACAGGTACTCAAAAACAAAATTTTTTTTTACTATTAAGCACAGCTGTTGAAGACTTAACTGCATTTGAGCCCTTCCATTTGGACTTCAGTAAGGCAAGCCAACATGTTTCATATTCAGAATACACGCTGTCCACTGAGGTGAACATGTAATAAATTATTAGTAAATTATTAAATGTCACAAAATTATTTGTTGAAATTTGTTTCATTCACACCTGAAGATGAATGAAAAAAAGTTAAATAATCATGGTGGAAGATTTCATAATTCATGCATCAAAGGGTTAAATCATTTAATTTTTACATTTTTGTTCTTGTGAAGCTCTTCATGATTTTTATCTTGAGAGGCGCTTTATAGAAAATAATTTTATTTCTTCTTTCATACTTCCTGTTCCCTCCTGTATCTCCTGTTCCCTCTTGTTCCTCCTGTTCCCTCATGTTACTCCTGTTTCCTCCTGTTTTTCCTGTTTCTCCTGTTTCCTCCTGTTTCCTCCTGTTCCTCCTGGTTCCTCCTGTTTCTCCTGGTTCCTCCTGTTCCCTCTTGTTCCTCCTGTTCCCTCATGTTACTCCTGTTTCCTCCTGTTTTTCCTGTTTCTCCTGTTTCCTCCTGTTTCCTCCTGTTTCTCCTGTTCCTCCTGTTCCCTCCTATTTCTTCTGTTCCCTCCTGTTTTTCCTGTTTTCTTTCTGTTTCTCCTGTTTCCTCCTGTTACTCCTGTTCCCTCCCGTTCCTTCTGTTACCCCTGTTTCTCCTGTTTCCTCCTGTTACCCCTGTTTCTCCTGTTTCCTCCTGTTACCCCTGTTTCTCCTGTTTCCTCCTGTTTCTCCTTTTTCCTCCTGTTACTCCTGTTTCCTCCTGTCTCCCGTTTCCTCCTGTTTCTACTGTTGCTTCTGTTTCATCCTGTATCTCTTCTTTCCTCCTGTTCCTCTTGTTTCCCCCTATTTCTCCTGTTCCTCCTGTTTCCTCCTGTTTCTCCTGTTTCATCCTGTTTCTCTTCTTTCCTCCTGTTTTCTCTTGTTTCCTCCTTTTCCTCCTGTTCCTCCTGTTTCCCCCTGTTCCTCCTGTTTCTCCTGTTCCTCCTGTTTCCTCCTGTTCCTCCTGTTTCTCCTGTTTCATCCTGTTTCTCTTCTTTCCTCCTGTTTCTCCTGTTTCCTCCTTTTCCTCCTGTTCCTCCTGTTTCCCCCTGTTCCTCCTGTTTCTCCTGTTCCTCCTTTTTCCTCCTGTTTCTCCTGTTTCATCCTGTTTCTCTTCTTTCCTCCTGTTTCTCCTGTTTCCTCCTGTTCCTCCTGTTTCTCCTGTTCCTCCTGTTTCCTCCTGTTCCTCCTGTTTCTCCTGTTTCATCCTGTTTCTCTTCTTTCCTCCTGTTTCTCCTGTTTCCTCCTTTTCCTCCTGTTCCTCCTGTTTCCCCCTGTTCCTCCTGTTTCTCCTGTTCCTCCTTTTTCCTCCTGTTTCTCCTGTTTCATCCTGTTTCTCTTCTTTCCTCCTGTTTCCTCCTGTTACTCCTGTTCCCTCCTGTTTCTCCTGTTTCTCCTGTTCCTCCTTTTTCCTCCTGTTTCCTCCTTTTCCTCCTGTTCCTCCTGTTTCCCCCTGTTCCTCCTGTTTCTCCTGTTCCTCCTGTTTCCTCCTGTTCCTCCTGTTTCTCCTGTTTCATCCTGTTTCTCTTCTTTCCTCCTGTTTCTCCTGTTTCCTCCTTTTCCTCCTGTTCCTCCTGTTTCCCCCTGTTCCTCCTGTTTCTCCTGTTCCTCCTTTTTCCTCCTGTTTCCTCCTGTTCCTCCTGTTACTCCTGTTCCCTCCTGTTTCTCCTGTTTCCTCCTGTTACTCCTGTTCCCTCCTGTTTCTCCTGTTTCCTCCTGTTAATCCTGTTCCCTCCCGTTCCTCCTGTTTCCTCCTGTTACCCCTGTTTCTCCTGTTTCCTCCTGTTACCCCTGTTTCTCCTGTTTCCTCCTGTTACCCCTGTTTCTCCTGTTACCCCTGTTTCTCCTGTTTCCTCCTGTTCCTCCTGTTTCTCCTTTTTCCTCCTGTTACTCCTGTTTCCTCCTGTGTCTCCCGTTTCCTCCTGTTTCTACTGTTACTTCTGTTTCATCCTGTATCTCTTCTTTCCTCCTGTTCCTCCTGTTTCCCCCTGTTTCTCCTGTTCCTCCTGTTTCCTCCTGTTTCTCCTGTTTCATCCTGTTTCTCTTCTTTCCTCCTGTTTTCTCTTGTTTCCTCCTTTTCCTCCTGTTCCTCCTGTTTCCCCCGTTCCTCCTGTTTCTCCTGTTCCTCCTGTTTCCTCCTGTTCCTCCTGTTTCATCCTGTTTCTCTTCTTTCCTCCTGTTTCTCCTGTTTCCTCCTTTTCCTCCTGTTCCTCCTGTTTCCCCCTGTTCCTCCTGTTTCTCCTGTTCCTCCTTTTTCCTCCTATTTCCTCCTGTTCCTCCTGTTACTCCTGTTCCCTCCTGTTTCTCCTGTTTCCTCCTGTTACTCCTGTTCCCTCCTGTTTCTCCTGTTTCCTCCTGTTACTCCTGTTCCCTCCTGTTTCCTCCGGTTACTCCTGTTCCCTCCTGTTTCTCCTGTTTCCTCCTGTTACCCCTGTTCCTCCTGTTTCCTCCTGTTACCCCTGTTCCTCCTGTTTCTCCTGTTTCATCCTGTTTCTCTTCTTTCCTTCTGATTCCTCCTGTTTCCTCCTTTTTCCTCCTGTTACCCCTGTTCCTCCTGTTTCTCCTGTTTCATCCTGTTTCTCTTCTTTCCTCCTGTTTCCTCACTCCTGTTTCGTCTGGTTACTCCTGTTACTCCTGTTTCTCCTGTTTCCTCCTGTTGCTCTTGTTTTCTCCTGTTCCCTCATGTTACTCCCATTTCCTCCTGTTACCTCCTGTTACTCCGGGTTCCTCCTGTTACTCCTGTTCCCTCCTGTTTCTCCTGTTCCTCCTGTTTCTCCTGTTACTTCTGTTTCCTCCTGTTTCCTCCTGTTTCTCCTGTTACATCTGTTTCCTCCTGTTTCCTCCAGTTTCCTCCTGTTTCTCATCTTTCCTCCTGTTTCCTCCTCTTACTCCTGTTCCCTCCTGTTTCTCCTGTTTCCTCCTGTTTCTCCTGTTTCCTCCTGTTCCCTCCTGTTTCTCCTGTTTCCTCCTGTTTCTCCTGTTTCCTCCTTTTTCTCCTCTTTCCTCCTGTTTCCTCCTCTTACTCCTGTTCCCTCCTGTTTCCTCCTGTTACCCCTGTTTCTCCTGTTTCCTCCTGTTACCCCTGTTTCTCCTGTTTCCTCCTGTTTCTCCTTTTTCCTCCTGTTACTCCTGTTTCCTCCTGTCTCCCGTTTCCTCCTGTTTCTACTGTTGCTTCTGTTTCATCCTGTATCTCTTCTTTCCTCCTGTTCCTCTTGTTTCCCCCTATTTCTCCTGTTCCTCCTGTTTCCTCCTGTTTCCTCCTGTTTCTCCTGTTTCATCCTGTTTCTCTTCTTTCCTCCTGTTTTCTCTTGTTTCCTCCTTTTCCTCCTGTTCCTCCTGTTTCCCCCTGTTCCTCCTGTTTCTCCTGTTCCTCCTGTTTCCTCCTGTTCCTCCTGTTTCTCCTGTTTCATCCTGTTTCTCTTCTTTCCTCCTGTTTCTCCTGTTTCCTCCTTTTCCTCCTGTTCCTCCTGTTTCCCCCTGTTCCTCCTGTTTCTCCTGTTCCTCCTTTTTCCTCCTGTTTCTCCTGTTTCATCCTGTTTCTCTTCTTTCCTCCTGTTTCTCCTGTTTCCTCCTGTTCCTCCTGTTTCTCCTGTTCCTCCTGTTTCCTCCTGTTCCTCCTGTTTCTCCTGTTTCATCCTGTTTCTCTTCTTTTCTCCTGTTTCCTCCTTTTCCTCCTGTTCCTCCTGTTTCCCCCTGTTCCTCCTGTTTCTCCTGTTCCTCCTTTTTCCTCCTGTTTCTCCTGTTTCATCCTGTTTCTCTTCTTTCCTCCTGTTTCCTCCTTTTCCTCCTGTTCCTCCTGTTTCCCCCTGTTCCTCCTGTTACTCCTGTTCCCTCCTGTTTCTCCTGTTTCCTCCTGTTACTCCTGTTCCCTCCTGTTTCTCCTGTTCCTCCTTTTTCCTCCTGTTTCCTCCTTTTCCTCCTGTTCCTCCTGTTTCCCCCTGTTCCTCCTGTTTCTCCTGTTCCTCCTGTTTCCTCCTGTTCCTCCTGTTTCTCCTGTTTCATCCTGTTTCTCTTCTTTCCTCCTGTTTCTCCTGTTTCCTCCTTTTCCTCCCGTTCCTCCTGTTTCCCCCTGTTCCTCCTGTTTCTCCTGTTCCTCCTTTTTCCTCCTGTTTCCTCCTGTTCCTCCTGTTACTCCTGTTCCCTCCTGTTTCTCCTGTTTCCTCCTGTTACTCCTGTTCCCTCCTGTTTCTCCTGTTTCCATCTGTTAATCCTGTTCCCTCCCGTTCCTCCTGTTTCCTCCTGTTACCCCTGTTTCTCCTGTTTCCTCCTGTTACCCCTGTTTCTCCTGTTTCCTCCTGTTACCCCTGTTTCTCCTGTTACCCCTGTTTCTCCTGTTTCCTCCTGTTCCTCCTGTTTCTCCTTTTTCCTCCTGTTACTCCTGTTTCCTCCTGTGTCTCCCGTTTCCTCCTGTTTCTACTGTTACTTCTGTTTCATCCTGTATCTCTTCTTTCCTCCTGTTCCTCCTGTTTCCCCCTGTTTCTCCTGTTCCTCCTGTTTCCTCCTGTTTCTCCTGTTTCATCCTGTTTCTCTTCTTTCCTCCTGTTTTCTCTTGTTTCCTCCTTTTCCTCCTGTTCCTCCTGTTTCCCCCTGTTCCTCCTGTTTCTCCTGTTCCTCCTGTTTCCTCCTGTTCCTCCTGTTTCATCCTGTTTCTCTTCTTTCCTCCTGTTTCTCCTGTTTCCTCCTTTTCCTCCTGTTCCTCCTGTTTCCCCCTGTTCCTCCTGTTTCTCCTGTTCCTCCTTTTTCCTCCTATTTCCTCCTGTTCCTCCTGTTACTCCTGTTCCCTCCTGTTTCTCCTGTTTCCTCCTGTTACTCCTGTTCCCTCCTGTTTCTCCTGTTTCCTCCTGTTACTCATGTTCCCTCCTGTTTCCTCCGGTTACTCCTGTTCCCTCCTGTTTCTCCTGTTTCCTCCTGTTACCCCTGTTCCTCCTGTTTCCTCCTGTTACCCCTGTTCCTCCTGTTTCTCCTGTTTCATCCTGTTTCTCTTCTTTCCTTCTGATTCCTCCTGTTTCCTCCTTTTTCCTCCTGTTACCCCTGTTCCTCCTGTTTCTCCTGTTTCATCCTGTTTCTCTTCTTTCCTCCTGTTTCCTCACTCCTGTTTCGTCTGGTTACTCCTGTTACTCCTGTTTCTCCTGTTTCCTCCTGTTGCTCTTGTTTTCTCCTGTTCCCTCATGTTACTCCCATTTCCTCCTGTTACCTCCTGTTACTCCGGGTTCCTCCTGTTACTCCTGTTCCCTCCTGTTTCTCCTGTTCCTCCTGTTTCTCCTGTTACTTCTGTTTCCTCCTGTTTCCTCCTGTTTCTCCTGTTACATCTGTTTCCTCCTGTTTCCTCCAGTTTCCTCCTGTTTCTCATCTTTCCTCCTGTTTCCTCCTCTTACTCCTGTTCCCTCCTGTTTCTCCTGTTTCCTCCTGTTTCTCCTGTTTCCTCCTGTTCCCTCCTGTTTCTCCTGTTTCCTCCTGTTTCTCCTGTTTCCTCCTTTTTCTCCTCTTTCCTCCTGTTTCCTCCTGTTTCTCCTGTTTCCTCCTTTTTCTCCTCTTTCCTCCTGTTTCCTCCTGTTTCTCCTGTTTTCTCCTGTTACTCCTGTTCCCTCCTCTTTCTCCTCTTTCCTCCTGTTTCCTCCTCTTACTCCTGTTCCCTCCTGTTTCCTCCTGTTTCTCCTGTTACTCCTGTTCCCTCCTGTTTCTCCTGTTTCCTCCCGTGCCTCCTGTTTCTCCTGTTTCCTCCTGTTTCTCCTGTTTCCTCCTGTTACTCCTGTTTCCTCCTGTTTCTCCTGTTGCTATAGACATGAGTACGCAGACACCCCATTGGGCGCTGGGGAGTGTAACGGTGTTGAGTAACGATGCCCGTTTCTGTGCAGCCTACGGTTACAACTACTGGTGTACTATTGAAAAAAAATGGTATGGGATTACTATTGACTTTTTTAGCCTACCTGATTAGAATTTATATTTACATTTATTTTGTTTTATTATAATAATAAATGTCTGATTTTGTGGGAAAAGCCTGATAAAATGTATTTTTAATTGGCTGAGCATCTTCCTCAGTAGACATGAATGCGCTGGGGTGAATGGAGACCATCTAACATCCTGGTCACTATGGCAGCTTCAGTAGGCAGTGCCAGTCCACGGGGCGTCTGTGACTCCCTGTTACCTCCACATGGGAACACTGGGCACAGGGACTGAACAGGAACAGGTTATCTGCTGCACTGATCTGATTGGTTAATAAACAAAATGTTTGGTCTGATTTTCAGTTTTTCATACAAATACAGTGAAATCAGCTGGTAAATACAACACATGTTAACATAGTAAGCATATCCACACATGGAAAGTATCATTGTGAATAAATCTCATGGCTCTAGCTCTTCTGTAACTTCAGAGTGTAAAAGCAGCTCACGGTCCGAAAACGTTTGGAGACCCCGATGGGATCAGAAGCAGCGTTTAGCTACAAAAACATGTTTACTGTTATTCTCATCAGCTTCTTCCTGCTCCTTTTCGAGCTCAACATAAAGATTTGTTCTTTTCTTTGTAATATTTTGCAGACTTGAGAGCGATGTCTGTTTTCTTTAAATATTTATGTTGGAATAAATAAATCTAATCACTCTTTAGCCTCTGCTTCCTCCTGCTGAAGCTCTGATGGAGGAATTCCAGTTTGCTTTATTCAGGTTTTCTGTTTCCTCCTATTTCATTATAAACTAAAGCTTTTAATATGAACCAAACATAAATAAAATGCTGTTTCTGGCTCGGTTTTCCGGAACTTCGGGTTCAGATCAGGACTGTGATGGAAAAGCTGTGGGATGTCTTTCATTTCCTGTTTAATATTTACCTTTTAGGGGATTTTCTGTAATAAAGCGGACTGTCTGGTTCCCAATGATCATGTATGTGACTATTCCCACCCCTCAGGCGACGGCTCAGATGGAGGAGCGTCTGGCTGACCTGCTCGCCTCCTCAGCCCCAGAAAAGGTCCGCCCACTAGCCGACGGGGTCCTGAGCTTCATTCACCACCAGCTGATCGAGCTGTCCAGAGACTGCCTGGAGAAAAGCAGAGAAGACCTCATCACCTCCCGCTACTTCTACGAGCTGCAGGAGAACCTGGAGAAGCTGCTGCAGGATGTGAGTCCAGCAGGGAGCCGGGAGCGCCGGCGTTTAGCCACCATCAGCAACAGGAAGTAGAAGCTTCCGCATTGGGAATGTTAGAGGAAGTTTACAGAAATTACGTTTTTCTGAAATGAAACAGAAGAAAAAAAATCTTTTATTACGTTCAGATTTTTTATTTTATGTTGGGAAATAAACACGAGTTTACTTTTCTTACGATTCATAAAATAATCAAAACATGTAAAAGTTCCTCTAAAACTCAGGAAACGTTTGTTTCTCAGTTGTTCCTTTCAAATGTTTTTATTTTATTTAGAAAATGTTTGGATTATTTTATGAATTTAAATTGTGTTTAAAAAAGCTGGAAGTGGAGTTTCTGAAGTAAAACCAGAACAATAATCATGTAGGTGAAAGTAGGGACATGTATGGAAGGCAAAAAGTAGCAAAATAAAGTCATTAACGCAAAATCAATATTTAAACTTCAGGGTAGTTCTTATTTATTCATGTTTTACTTTTAGTTTTAAATATTGTTTATTTATCAGTTTAAAATCTTCCTAAATTCTCAAGAACAAACGGATAAAAATGTTCTTCACCATTTTATCATTTGTCCTAAAGTTTCATTCTTTTATTGAGTCTTTTGTTGTAAAGTTTTTATTTATAGATGAATGATGAAGGACGCACACTTGGGTTGCTCCCTTCAGAGTCGGGGGACACGGACGGAGCTTGGGTTGGAACCAGCAACCCTCCCACGAGCCCTCGTGAACGTAGATCAGAGACTTTAGGATGAAAACTTTATTCCTCCTGAGAAAAATCTAATAAAAGGTTCAACAAATTAAATAAACAATCTATTCACACAAAATCAGATTCAAAAACATGAAAACATCTGAAACAAATTCATGAAAAAGGAAAACTTGTTTCTGCTTTACGACTCATGAAAGGTCCTTCCTGTTCTCCGAACCTTCCATCCAAACATCTCCACCGTCGGAGCGTCTCCGTCTCGCTCTCATCGCGCAACACGTGCCTTTGTTCACTCAACGGCTTTGTGTGATGTCATCGTCATTAGCTCTGTGTGATGTCATCGTCATTAGCTCTGTGTGATGCCATCGTCATTAGCTCTGTGTGATGTCATCGTCATTAGCTCTGTGTGATGTCATCGTCATTAGCTCTGTGTGATGTCATCGTCATTAGCTCTGTGTGATGTCATCGTCATTAGCTCTGTGTGATGTCATCGTTGTGTGTGTGTGTGTGTGTGTGTGTGTGTTTATCGGTTCCCAGCGGCCTCTTGTTGACCTGTTCCGCTACGACACACACAAACTACCTCTCAATCATAACACACACACACACACTCTCTGGATTTTAATTTCACACTCCAGCGGTCGCTTGGGGCTGAAGGATTGCTCTCCCAGACAAACAGAAGGAGTCTCAGCTTTGATAAGTGGGCGGGGCTTTAGTGGGATTCCCCTGCTCGTGATTGGCTGAGAGCTACTGTGAGTTTGTGAGAAAGCACATCTGGATTTCACGCTGCAGTGCAGCGTGTGATGTCATCAGCAGTTGGACTGATTAGGGTTTTAGTTTGGGGCGTGCAGCAGCAGGTGATCAGACGGCGTGAGCAGGTGGACGTTCTCCTTCCTGCCTCACTGTGGAAAGATCTCCTTCTTTTTCTGGGAACATGTCCTGTGTCTCGTGGCAGAGGAGGCTGCAGACAGAGGAGGTGCTGGAGGAGGTGCTGAGGAGGAAGGTGTTGATGCACAGCTGGAGCGAGGAAGAATTTACAGTTGAGTTAATTTGCTGTTTGACTCCATCAAGGTCTGGTTGTGTTTAATCTTCCTCGTCAGTCGGTCTCAGGGGCACACTGACCCATGTTAGAGGTTGGGGTTTGGTTCTGGTGCAGTTCTGACGGGTTTGGGCCATTGCTGCTACATGTTCTAGAAGTCTGGTGTGCGTTGATCTGGACGGCTCTATAGAGCGGACATCTTTTAGCCCGTATTCTTGTCTGCAGCCAGGCTCGCCGGGTTTGTTAGGCTGATTTCTGCTGTTGTTGAGAACAGGAAGTGTTTTTGTGTCACACTGAATCCAGATCACTCAGAGCCTTTCCATTTCCTGTTGATTTTCTTAATGTGTCAGGTAGACGTCGGGGGGGGGGGGGTGCGTAAGTGTTGCCCCAGGTGTTAAAACTGCATTCTGGGCCTATAGATAAATGGATGTGGTGTTTCTGTGCACGTAGGGTGGTGTTCTGAAGTAACGTGTTCTTAGTTTGTTCTTGAGAGACTTCAAACCTCACATCCTATGTCTACATTTGCACTCCCAGACACACACACACACACACACACACACACACACACACACACACACACACACACACACACATTTAATTTGATCTATAAATAATTCAGGGAGGGGATTTCAAGGCCTGTTCAGACAATCAGCAGCAGGTCAGAGGTTTTGTTTCGGAACATCTGCCTGACACACACACACACACGCGCGCACACACACGTGTTAGACTCCACAAAACAGATCTCTTCAAGCCTGGCAGTTTCAATGTTTTTATTTTATTTTATTTATTTATTTTGACCGCGTCCTGTCTGGCTGTGAAGCAATCAGAAGGATGTCTGGTAGCTTCGGCTATAACGCCACGGCTGATACCAAAACTTCATTAGAAATATTTACGGTGGTTTTAAATCACAACGGAGACAGAAGTGTAAGAAAGGGCGGGAAGGTGGGGCGAGTTCACAAAGTAAACGACACATGATGAACAAGGATGTGCTTCTAGTTCTGCAGAAAGAGAGAGAGAGAAAATACCTGTACAATAAAACCAAAATATCACTGCTCCCCCAACACAAGCATATAGATACCAGTAAGAACTGTTGCTGAAAAGCACACGATAATGAATCCCAGTGCATTTAGCGCCAACCACAGCCTTAGGCCATCTAGCAGCTGCTCCAGGGCCCTGGGAGATAACTACGGCAAGCCCCCAGGCCCACCCGCAGCCGCCCACCTTGGAGCAGCTGGGCTCAGAACCCAAGGGCGCCGACAAGGACTTGACGGCACCCAGGGATCACAACCCCCCCAGGCAGCCACTGGGAGCGACCCGACAGATGCCGACTCTCGGCCCTTTCTAATTATTCCAGGTTTATTTTGCTCCTAAACTCTGATTTTCTAGAAGGTCAGCTCCTGCCGAGCTATCCTGCTGAATTCTGGGTAAATTGCTCCGTCTTCTGGCTGCCTGTCAATCTATGGAGCGTACAGAGAATAAGTCTGAGGTCACCCTGACTTAGATTACCCCCCAGGCATCGCAGAAAGTCACTCCGCTTTCGGTTGGTCCTCAAACACCTGGCTCTACTTTGTCCATGAAAGACAAACGGGAGACGGAGACGTTTCTGCTGCGCCGGCGGATAAAACCTCAGCAGCTAGAGAATCGGTCTGGTTTAGCGAGGAGATTAGACACATCCTGGTTTCATACAAATGTTTAAACGCAGAGATGACCCCCGTGTGTTTCTGGTTTCAGGCTCACGAACGTTCAGGGAGCGCTGAAGTGACGTTTGTGACTCAGCTGGTGAAGAAGCTGATGATCATCATCGCCCGTCCAGCTCGTCTCCTGGAGTGTCTGGTAGGAAACATTCAGATCTTCCTGTTGGTTTCCTCTAGGAGCCTCAGGAAGGTTACTACTTTAAATGTTCGGAACGATCAACCAGTGTGAAGGGATTTGGACTTTCTCCTGATTAAACCAAGCGGTCTCCCAGAAACGTAGTGGAGGTTGATCCCAGAGGCTGCAGACGCCCGTAACCACCCCTGCTTCCCCTTCAGAGGGAATTATTTTAGCCCTTATATTTGTTGAATGGGGTCTAGTTCCTCCCGACTCCTGAGAAGATCGGTGTTTACTTCATTTATTAGACCTTTGTTAGACCAGGTGAGTCCCCGTTCTGATGTACCACGACCTGGCCAAGAGGCACCAAGAGCAGCAACCATGTAAACAAGCGTGTGTTTACAGCAGCAGACATAAGGACGTTGTCCCACGCCGTTCAGCCTGAGTAATCAGGGCGCTCTGGAGGTGAGTTTAATGTTTTTGCCGTTCATTCTGGTCGTTTGGTGTGCCACAAGAGGAATGAACAGATGGTGTGAGCTGTGGAGATGATCAGTGATGAAGTTGCTGTAGCGTAAATGACCACGGCTGTTGAGGAGTGAGTGAAGGTATGCGGAGTTTTGCTGCTGATTGTTTGGAATATGAACTTCCAGTGTAACGCGCTGTGGGAATGAGGTGATGGCCAGTTAACCAGAGGGTACAGGTCCCAGTGGGGATGCTGGGAGTGGCACCACACACTAAATAGGGATCGGCATCCATGTTGGTATCGGCCGATGTCATTTTGAACACATCGGTCCGATCGGTAAAACTGGGCTGGTATTAACAACCAGTACTTCTTCTGTTTGTGCGCCAGCTTCCTGTTTCAGCGACTGTGTGGCGCTGCTCCATGAGAATGGAGGCAGTGCTCAACTCTGCCTCCAGAGGGCGCATGCACTCTGCCTGAATGAGTTAGGGTGTGCGGGGGCGGGCCCATCTCTGTTTCCCCTCTCGCTTCTGCATGTGTAAATGATCAGGAAACCGGTAAATTCAGCCATTTAACCATAAACGTACTGAAATCATGCAGAAAACTGAAGTATAGAGCACTGAGTTGACACTGACTTTATATTAAGGCATTACTAGCATTTTACTTGTCCCGATGACAAGAGACGCAGTGCCTCCTCTGACCCCACATCACTCATCTCATCTCATCCTTCCCAGCTCGGGTCCTCTACCAGAGACCTGGGAGGGTGCTGCAGTATCTGAGTCTGATGTTTCTCCTGGGATCCGCTTTACCCACTCCTCCAGTTTGGGGGTTACTGCCCCGATGACCACGGCCACCACCGATGTCCTCACTCTCCAGGCTTTCTCTAGTTCTTCTCTGAGGCCCTGGTGCTTCTCTGGGTTCTCGTGTTCCTTTTTCCTGATGTTGCATCACTTGGTATCACCACAACATCTGTCCTCTGTGGTTTGTCCACCACCATTTAGTCAGTCTGGATCTGAAAGTCCCACAGGAGCTCGGCTCTCTGGTTCTCTACCACCTTAGGGGGCGTTACCACCTTGACCTTGGGGCTTCCAGTCCATACTCTGCACAGATGTTCCTTGGTCATGGCGTTCCATGGAAGCTTTCCCTGCCAGCATCTCACACCCTGCAGGTCTGTGGCGGACTGTCTCAGGGGCCTCTAGCCTACAGCTTGGGTCTGGTCTGGTGTGGTAGATCTTGGCCTCTGTTGCTCTGGTGTTCAGGGCTGTTCCTGTGCAGCCATGATGAGAGTCTCTGTGCTGTCCTTCAGACCAGCTCCTTCTAGCTACTGGTCGGATTTCTTTATCAGCCACTTCAGTTATCTGTTGGTGGTACATCCATGTAGGGGTCAGTCCTCCCATGATGGCATCTCCAGCATCTCCCCCTCTGTTCACCGTTGTCTGAGACGATCACTGAGCGTGTCGTCTGTTGGAGCCTTGACCTGGAGGTACTTATGGATCTCGGATGTTTGATCCTGGACGGTGGCTCTCACACTCACTAGTCCTGGACCTCCTTCCTTACGGCTAGTGTACAGGGTGCTGGGTTTGGGACGGATCTGACCACACTTCTGACTGACTGTGTTGTAAAGCACCTTGGGGGGTTCCAGGACTCTAGAAGGCGCTGTATCAAATACAGGCCATGTACCATGTATGTGTTTGAGGCGTTCTGACCAATCACAGGCTTGCGTTCTCCGTCTCATTAGACGGATGTTCCGTCCTTGCGAGGGCTCTCCAGCAGGCTCGCCAGGACGGATGATGGCGTTAGACGTCCGTCCCGATGCAGACGGCGTGTGAATCAGGCTTAGAAGGTACTCGTTCCTGCAGGACTACAGATGTGCGTGTTAGACGAGCGTCCCACACCTTTAAGCAGAAAAGTGTCACAAACTATAATCATCATCAGTTTTTTGCTGTTTATTTATCTTCGTTAAAGAAAAGTGGTGAAAATAAATATTAGGGTTGTTCTTACCTGTCAGATCTGTTTCTGCCATGTTTGGTTCTGTGCTGCTGTTCTGGCGACCCACCTTCACCTTCATCCCCCTCCTCTGCAGGAGTTTGACCCGGAGGAGTTTTACCACCTGCTGGAAGCGGCTGAGGGCCATGCCAAGGAAGGTCAGGGCATCAAGTGTGACATCCCGCGGTACATCATCAGCCAGCTGGGGCTCACCAGAGACCCGCTGGAGGGTAAAACAACCAAACAAGCTTGTTGTTGTTTACATCTCCTTTGGTTTAACCCAGCAGCGGTGTTTGGTTTCAGAAATGACCCAGCTGAGCAGTTACGACAGCGGGAACCCGGAAACGCCTGAGACAGACGATTCAGTCGACGTGAGTAAAGAGTCGGAGTCGGGAAGACGAGCACCAACCTTTAGAGATTAAACTCGTGGTGCTAGCCTCAGATTTTCAGGTTTTCACTCAGGAGAAGGTGCAGCTGCAGGACTGTTCTTCTTCTGCTGCGTTTCAGAGTCAGAGCACCACCGTCCCTCCCTCGCCTCCACAGACCAAGACCAGAACTCCTCGAGAAGAGGACTTTGAGACCATCAAGCTCATCAGCAACGGCGCCTACGGGTCCGTCTGCGTCTCTTCGCTCCAGATCTGTCGTGACAGCTGCTTTCCACCGTTCTGAGCGTTTACCGATGTCTTTGTCTGGTGCAGAGCGGTTTATCTGGTCCGTCACAAAGAAACCAGGCAGCGATTCGCCATGAAGAAGATCAACAAGCAGAACTTGATCCTGAGGAATCAGGTCCAGCAGGCCTTCGTAGAGCGAGACATCCTGACCTTCGCCGAGAATCCGTTTGTTGTTTCCATGTTCTGTTCCTTTGAGACCAGGAGGCATCTGTGCATGGTGATGGAGTACGTGGAGGGTAAGATGAACACCTGCTGGAGGTGCTTCTCAGTGCAAACGGGTCAGAAACCGGATTTTAGGTTGTTTATGGAGGGAAGCTGACTCAGATACTGTTGAGCTGCGTTTGAATGAAGAGGAGGAGCTGTGCTTCCACTGCTCCTCACCAGGAAGGGCTGGGAGGGAGTCACCGTGGCAACCAGGGGCTCTGACCTGTGTTGTGGTGTGCAGGTGGAGACTGCGCCACGCTGCTGAAGAACATCAAAGCGCTGCCGGTGGACATGGCTCGGCTGTACTTCGCCGAGACCGTCCTCGCGTTGGAGTATCTCCACAACTACGGCATCGTGCACCGAGACCTCAAACCTGACAAGTAAGAACCGGTCAGGAACGTGTCTTTGGGGCTGAACTCACCTGCTGAACGAGTCTTCTGTCCTCTGTCCAGTCTTCTCATCACGTCCATGGGACACATCAAGCTGACGGACTTTGGCCTGTCTAAGATCGGACTCATGAGTCTCACCACAAACCTGTACGAAGGCCACATTGAGAAGGATGCCCGGGAGTTCCTGGATAAACAGGTACGGCCAGTTAAATGTCGAGTAAACAAAGAACCGGGTCTGGGCCAGAACCAGACAATCAAGTGTTTAGTTTGGGTTTGCCCCGCCCCCTTCACAGGTGTGTGGCACTCCGGAGTACATCGCCCCAGAGGTGATTCTGCGTCAGGGCTACGGAAAGCCGGTGGACTGGTGGGCCATGGGGGTCATCCTGTACGAGTTCCTGGTGGGCTGCGCTCCCTTCTTTGGAGACACAACGGAGGAACTGTTTGGTCAGGTGATCAGTGGTGAGTAGGCGTGGCCTTTGTTACAGGCTCAGACATTCTGCCCCTCCCCCTAGAACGTATGATTAGTTAAATGTAGAGAGCTAATTTGACTCCGCCCTCATTTCCTCCTGTCAGACCGGACAGGTACTTTTAGTTCCAGCAGAAACTAAAGTTTCTCAGTAACTTTAGGCTCAGCAGTAATATTCACCAACAAATACAAGAGCTACCAAAGAAAACTGACTTTGAATGCAGTTTGAGTTCCTGAGCAGGTGATGTCCTCACCTGAGGAGGAAGTCTCAACAGAATCTTTAAGCATCTGTTATTGTCGGTTTGCTCTGGAGACTTTTTCTTTCTGTTTGGATCAGATGAGATCGTCTGGCCGGAGGGAGACGAAGTTCTTCCTCAGGATGCTCAGGACCTCATCTCCAAGTTGCTGCGGCAGAATCCTCTGGAACGACTTGGCACAGGTATGGAATACACACACACACACACACACATATATATATATATATATGTATGTATATATACATAGACACACATATATATGTGTATATGTATATATGTGTATATGTATATGTATATATACACATATATATATATATATATATATGTGTGTATAAATATGTGTATGTATGTATGTATGTGTATATGTATATATATATATATATATATATATATATATATATATATATATATATATATATATATATATATATATATATATATATACATATACATACATATACCGTAAATCCTCTAATATTAGCCTGTATTTAATTAACTGCCGGGTATCATATTTTGGCCGGTGTCGAAGTCGGCGGAGGTGAATAATGGCCGTTTTTTTATTGTGGCCGGGTGGAATGTGGTAATAAGCAAGTACGGGGGGCGGTTGTGTCATCGTCTCACTTTTGATTTGCCAGTGATAGACCTCGAGGGTAACTTTAACCGTGCGGAGACGAAGAGGAGGCGAAAATTTGATATCAAGTTCAAAGAGAACGTGCTGATTATGCTGCAGAACACTCTGGGGAGCAGCAGCAGGGGTTGTCTGAACTAGTCACTAGTCGACTTCACCGCTCTATAGTGACTTGTTATGCCTGTCATCGACTAGTCGCTGTCACGTGATAATGACCGGCAAGATGCAGTCCTCGGAAAAGACAGCAGCCTGCTGTCAGCAGGTGACAAGCTCCTGCGCGTCGAGAGGCAACGCACTGTGCCAGAGCGTCGGTACTGACACCCGCCGTAAAACGGACATTTAACCAAATTGTGACGTTTACCCTCTCGCAATTTAACCTTCCCCTCACTCCATCCTAACCTTAACCAGCTTGCACATGCAAAGCTCTGATCGTTGATGCGCTCCAGACATCTGCGTCCTGAGCACGGCCACAGTAACATTATCACATCAGGTGTCGCCACCTCAAAAACTAATTTAACACGCGATCGTTCATGTCAGCTCATTTCCTTTTATGTTTTCTGTCTTTTATTCTTTTATTTGTGCCTGATGCGTTTCGCTGCTGTGGATCGGGGCGCATCACCTGTTTTGTCCTCTGTGACGCACCGATCACTGATGCGGCCGGCGAGCACTCCGCTGTTTCTGCGGTCGGTAGATCTTTTAGAGCTGCAGTTCAAAGGTAACTCATAAGGTGAATATATATGAAGCCAGGTAGCAGTTTCTCTTTAGGACTGAGAGGAGATGCAGGAAGATAATAAACAGACAGGACAGAAAAATAGTCAAATAAAAACAAGTTAGTTTTTGTACCTGCTGGTTGCAACAAACAGACACCATTGAAAGTAATCAGAAGTGAGGAACAGAAAATGAAATAATTATTTTAATGTTTAGAGCAGCAGGAACTCTGAGAGGCTGCAGGCGCATCAGTGAGTTTGTGGCCGCTGCGCAGGGGGAGGGGGGAGAGGGCTGAAGCAGGGGGAGGGGGGAGAGGGCTGAAGTAGGGGGAGGGGGGGGAGGGCTGAAGCAGAAACTACCGTTGTTAAAAGAAATGTGTTTAACTTTGAAAATGTGGGCGCAATTTTAAATGTCAAAAACTCCAGCGAACCAACCAAACTCAAATAGGAATTGAGGCCTGCCTCTAATTCTGGCCCTCCTTCCAATAAAGGCCTGGAGCTTGATGAGCTTGAGTCAAATACAGGCCTGGGCCTGTATTAGAGGATTTACGGTATATATATACATACATACAAACAAAGAAACAGGAGCAAAGCTATCTAGGATGATGGGCCTGGTTGGAGTCGGGAGAGGCGGCGATAAGGCTGAAGGAGAGATGCTAGATCTGACCTTATTGACTTTGTCCACAAAGAAAGACAGAAAGTTCTCACAGTCTAGTGTTTCCATCACCTGATAACCTCTCAGGTTGTCCACCTCAGTAGTCACGTCCAAATGATGCAATCTGGCTTTTCAAGAGGAATCTAGTGACCTCAAACGGAGACGATGATGTCATTCCTGTCTCAGGCCCTCGTGTCTTCATCTTTTCCACAGGAGGTGCGTTTGAGGTGAAGCAGCACTCGTTCTTCACAGACCTGGACTGGACCGGCCTGCTGAGACAGAAAGCCGAGTTCATCCCTCAGCTGGAGTCTGAAGAGGACACCAGTTACTTCGACAGTACGTTCCTGACTCGCCTACAGCTGTTTCAGGTGTTCGCTGTGGGCCCTAACAGGCATGTGTTTGTGTGCCAGCGCGTTCGGACCGGTACCACCACGTGGATTCAGAGGACGAAGAAGACACCAACGATGAAGAGCACGTGGAGATACGACAGTTCTCATCCTGTTCCCCTCGATTCAGCAAGGTACAAGCAGATCCTGGAATCAGTGGCACCCCAGAAAACGTTGGTGGGGGCCAGATGGGGCCTGGGGACCGTTTGGGGGCACGCCAACACGGTCCTTGTGATAATTCTGGGAGGGTTTAGGCTGCGGCCGTGCATCACATGATGCTTTCTTCTTCCGCATTCAAGCAACATCGTCTAAGACGCTCGGCTGAAGCTCTAAATCTGCAGTTATTTAAATGTTCAGAACAGCAACGTTCTCCTGTCGCCGTCGTCTCCAAACACCCACCGCCTTACCGACGTTTAACGCGTAGTTTCCAAACACCCACCGCCTTACCGACGTTTAACGCGTCGTCTCCAAACACCCACCGCCTTACCGACGTTTAACGCGTAGTTTCCAAACACCCACCGCCTTACCGACGTTTAACGCGTAGTTTCCAAACACCCACCGCCTTACCGACGTTTAACGCGTCGTCTCCAAACACCCACCGCCTTACCGACGTTTAACGCGTAGTTTCCAAACACCCACCGCCTTACCGACGTTTAACGCGTAGTTTCCAAACACCCACCGCCTTACCGACGTTTAACGCGTCGTCTCCAAACACCCACCGCCTTACCGACGTTTAACGCGTAGTTTCCAAACACCCACCGCCTTACCGACGTTTAACGCGTAGTTTCCAAACACCCACCGCCTTACCGACGTTTAACGCGTCGTCTCCAAACACCCACCGCCTTACCGACGTTTAACGCGTAGTTTCCAAACACCCACCGCCTTACCGACGTTTAACGCGTCGTCTCCAAACACCCACCGCCTTACCGACGTTTAACGCGTCGTCTCCAAACACCCACCGCCTTACCGACGTTTAACGCGTAGTTTCCAAACACCCACCGCCTTACCGACGTTTAACGCGTAGTTTCCAAACACCCACCGCCTTACCGACGTTTAACGCGTCGTCTCCAAACACCCACCGCCTTACCGACGTTTAACGCGTAGTTTCCAAACACCCACCGCCTTACCGACGTTTAACGCGTCGTCTCCAAACACCCACCGCCTTACCGACGTTTAACGCTTAGTTTCCAAACACCCACCGCCTTACCGACGTTTAACGCGTCGTCTCCAAACACCCACCGCCTTACCGACGTTTAACGCGTAGTTTCCAAACACCCACCGCCTTACCGACGTTTAACGCGTCGTCTCCAAACACCCACCGCCTTACCGACGTTTAACGCGTCGTCTCCAAACACCCACCGCCTTACCGACGTTTAACGCGTAGTTTCCAAACACCCACCGCCTTACCGACGTTTAACGCGTCGTCTCCAAACACCCACCGCCTTACCGACGTTTAACGCGTAGTTTCCAAACACCCACCGCCTTACCGACGTTTAACGCGTAGTTTCCAAACACCCACCGCCTTACCGACGTTTAACGCGTCGTCTCCAAACACCCACCGCCTTACCGACGTTTAACGCGTAGTTTCCAAACACCCACCGCCTTACCGACGTTTAACGCGTAGTTTCCAAACACCCACCGCCTTACCGACGTTTAACGCGTCGTCTCCAAACACCCACCGCCTTACCGACGTTTAACGCGTCGTTTCCAAACACCCACCGCCTTACCGACGTTTAACGCGTCGTTTCCAAACACCCACCGCCTTACCGACGTTTAACGCGTCGTCTCCAAACACCCACCGCCTTACCGACATTTAACGCGTCGTCTCCAAACACCCACCGCCTTATCGACGTTTAACGTGTCGTCTCCAAACACCCACCGCCTTACCGACGTTTAACGCGTAGTTTCCAAACACCCACCGCCTTACCGACGTTTAACGCGTCGTCTCCAAACACCCACCGCCTTACCGACGTTTAACGCGTAGTTTCCAAACACCCACCGCCTTACCGACGTTTAACGTGTCGTCTCCAAACACCCACCGCCTTACCGACGTTTAACGCGTAGTTTCCAAACACCCACCGCCTTACCGACGTTTAACGCGTCGTCTCCAAACACCCACCGCCTTACCGACGTTTAACGCGTCGTCTCCAAACACCCACCGCCTTACCGACGTTTAACGCGTCGTCTCCAAACACCCACCGCCTTACCGACGTTTAACGCGTCGTCTCCAAACACCCACCGCCTTACCGACGTTTAACGCGTCGTTTCCAAACACCCACCGCCTTACCGACGTTTAACGCGTCGTCTCCAAACACCCACCGCCTTACCGACGTTTAACGCGTCGTCTCCAAACACCCACCGCCTTACCGACGTTTAACGCGTCGTTTCCAAACACCCACCGCCTTACCGACGTTTAACGCGTCGTTTCCAAACACCCACCGCCTTACCGACGTTTAACGCGTCGTTTCCAGACACCCACCGCCTTACCGACGTTTAACGCGTAGTTTCCAAACACCCACCGCCTTACCGACGTTTAACGCGTCGTCTCCAAACACCCACCGCCTTACCGACGTTTAACGCGTCGTCTCCAAACACCCACCGCCTTACCGACGTTTAACGCGTCGTCTCCAAACACCCACCGCCTTACCGACGTTTAACGCGTCGTTTCCAAACACCCACCGCCTTACCGACGTTTAACGCGTCGTCTCCAAACACCCACCGCCTTACCGACGTTTAACGCGTCGTTTCCAAACACCCACCGCCTTACCGACGTTTAACGCGTCGTTTCCAAACACCCACCGCCTTACCGACGTTTAACGCGTCGTCTCCAAACACCCACCGCCTTACCGACGTTTAACGCGTCGTCTCCAAACACCCACCGCCTTACCGACGTTTAACGCGTCGTTTCCAAACACCCACCGCCTTACCGACGTTTAACACGTCGTCTCCAAACACCCACCGCCTTACCGACGTTTAACGCGTAGTTGTGACGGTGAGCAGCAGCTGCATTATCGTTT